GCACTCAAAACAAGGCTGTCTCTTATACACATCTAGATGTGTATAAGAGACAGTGTATATGTATATAATGAGACATAATTATTTTCTATTTATTGTGACGTCAATCTGTGAACATACGTGAAGCAGGTTAACGCCAATATCTAACTCACTCATGAGTATGCGACATTGAGTATGATCAGCCTAGGCTTTGAATCGATAATTACTATTTTCCAAACCAGTCTCCGAAGAATTATGAGCATAATAATGAAACTTCCGTATGGTTCATTACTACAAACAGAGAATCCATTAATTCTAACCCTCTGGATAATCATATGGGATAATGCAATATCAAGCGCCCAAAGTGATGAATTAAAATTTTGTTTTTACTATCGATATGAGTATGCCAACGATGGCCTTTTATAATGCTGTGATTAAAGTTTTAAAGCTGCTCCCGTGCGCTGACGCATTAGTCGTGCGTAAAAGTATAAAAGATAAATGCGTTATAATTGGCAATGAGTACGTATATGCAAATGAGCCTACACGTTGCATAATAAGCTATCACAAAATAACGACATAAGGATGTTTAAATTTCAAGAAGTATTAAGAAGAGCGCCGGCTTGAAATTAATTATGACGTCAGTAGTTACGGTAGTTCATGAGAAGCTAATTAACATATCGTTGATTTATTACAGCAAAAATGGTGTACATACGGATGAGATGCGAAAATTGTATGAGGAAATGGACCATCTATTGATGACGGAGCGAGAACTACTTCGACGAAAATACGAAGAAGAAATGCAATTAGAGCTTGATAGGCAACTGGAAATGCGACAGCAAGAAATGCATGATCTTGTTACTCGCAAAAAAGAAGTAAATAAGTAGCATTCTGATTTTGATTTATTCGACGTTATTTATAGTCGGCTTTCATTGTACAAAAAACAATACATTATGTATCCTGAATTTGTGGTTTGAAATGTTCCTGTATTATATGTAGTGTGCATACTGTGGTTATAATTGTCAATACAATAATTAGCAATAGGCCTAGTCTAGATTGATGGTGATTTGTCAAGAAATTTATTTTTGTTACAATTTATCATCGATAACATTAAAGGTTATTCTTCATCACAAACAACCTTGAATAATAGTAGCCCCAATGATAAGGTATATTATGCTAATTCTATGTTAAATATGCATTCTTGAATTTTATGGACACTGATCGTTTTGTTTGTCATAGCTCGAAGTCTCTCTTCGAGAACTGAATAAAAGAGAAAAAGAAGTTTCGCAACAAAATAATCAACTTGAGCAGATGGTGTTTGAACTGAGTCGACACGAGAGTAATATTGTCACACAAAATGAGTTCCTGATAAAAGTAAGTTTAGGTGTTTTCAGCCTCATTTAACATCATTATGGCTTAAACTGCGAATTGAATTTATATAAGCTTATTCGGAGTTTATATATAGTACCGTATATATAATGAGTTATATGATTTTTTTTAAAGGAAAACAGTGCACTCAAAACAAGGTTAGATCAATCGTTAGCAGGGCTAAATGAAACGCAACAACTGTGCCTTCAACTACAAGACGAAACCGAGCGAGAGCGAGAATATTTTCAAAGGTATTGTCAATTTAAACGAAAATACGAATGCACAATTTAGAAACATAGCCGAATTAAGATAGGCCATTGTGGGACGAATTGATTTCATATTGATATGCTGAATGGAAAGCATTGTATAGAAAACATCAATTAAACCATCGAGATATTAAAACCCTATGATTACAGCTTACCGTAAATTTGAACTACATTGCATGCAGTATGTCGACATCAGTAATAACGTAAAATCTCGAATTGAAATCCTGGGCTTTTTTTTTTTTTTTTACTTGCAAACTTTGGATGGGCTTCTTTTCGAGACCACTTTTGCAAAGTATAGATGTTGGGGGGGGGGGTCTTCTTTTCAAAATGAATGCTGTACATATTGGAAATTAGTACTATAAAACAATAAATAGGGCCACTGTAACATCAATCTGTATCATGAAGTGTATTAACCGGCATTAAATCACCTAAACTACTGTATAAACCAAGCATTTTTAATTATTTTGTTTCTTTGAAATTGATGTAGAGTTTATGTACTGTACTATCTCGAAAAGAAGCCTATGCTATCTTGAAAATAAGCCCATAGGCTTCTTCTCGAGGCTAAATTTGCAAACTGAAGAGGTGGGCTTCAATTCTAGATGGGCTTCTCGATATTAAGCACATTGTGCTTCAATTCGAGGTTTTACGGTATTTTTAGTAGGAAACCCATTGTACTAATTACAGAGACTAAACCTCTCAGTATTTGCAATTCTGACTCAAATACACCGATACTATATATAATTGCTATCAACTCGCTTAATCAATCACTCCGTATGTCATAATATACGTTAAAACTCAAAGCCAATGCTCTCAGCAAGGTAACATAGAATAGGCTTGAATGTTGCTTTGGGCTACATATTGTCTCTATCTACTCTATTCTATTTAGAAAAATAATGACACTGACCGAACTATCAATATATTGTAGGCACACATACAAAAGAACACAAATATACAATTTACTTACAATACCTACCTATAGGTAGTTTTGCCAGAGCAATTATTCTAGAATTATATGAGCTATCCGTTTTGTTTTATTTAGTCAGTTTTGAAATATTGTACGTGCAAATAGTAAGTTAAAGATAAACGGCACTTTACGGACTAACAAAGTTTGACACACGAGGTTTCGAACACACAGTGGTTTTCATCAGGTGAATGTACAATCATGGAGGGAAGAAACTTTTCTCCATGTCACAATTAGGATAAAAATACGTCCTTATATACATGATGAACAAAAGAGGGTTGATGCTCTAATGCACATCTACATATATGTTTTATCATGCATTTTATCATGTATTTTAACTGTAAAGAAAGACTAAGTATACCAACTTATACAGAAAACTGTAATGAATAAAATAAAGGCGTTATAAGCAGAAGCTTAGCTCAGCTAAACCGGTGATAGCCACAGTGTGTGCGCTGAACCGTGGAGATCATTTGGTCCCCAGTTCAATTCCCATTGCTGCTTTCTAAGGGCTGAAATGCAGTTACGATAGCGCAGCGTCTTTCGGATGAGACGTTTAAGCTGTCCGTGTTGGTTGGTCCATGTGCACGTTAAGCCGGGGCAGTGGCGTCGAGAGCCAGTAATGGCCCCGTGGCAACACCTCACATGAGAACCAGTAAGCGCTCCAGGGCAACACCTCACATGCCCCCCCCCCTTCACTTGGGACCTCCACTCGGCCGCTCCCCAAATTAAGTCTCCTCCTAAGACCCTATTTGTTCAAACCCACATACATGAATATGATTCCATGTGATTATTTTTTTGCAAAGACGCCATAAAACCATAATGTATAGTTTGTTCTGACAACAAAAGTGTTCATCCTGGCTTGGGCGCGGGCCCTATGGAGATTTTGTTTTTACCCCGAAAATTTTTCATCTTGGTCCATTCCCCCCAGTAGACCCGGGCCCCGGGGTCGTCGGCCGACGCGATGCTATGAAGAAGGCAACGCGACGACACGTGCGCAACGGATCGTTTTTAATGACTATCCTTTCAGACTTGCACCGACAATCAGTAAACGGATCACGTCGTCTAGCCAGGGAACAATTTCACTGTTCCCTGGTCTCTAGCACTCACAGGGAGCAGAGTGCCCGGCTTAAAAGAACGCAGTACACTCTTCGGAAAAGAGTAGGAGATTGTCTCCCGGTGTACTGCAATTCACCACCAGAAGGAGTCGACCCCGTTGAAAATAAGTCGTCAAATTTTCTTGGGTTATCCTTGGTGTTTACACGGAAAATATAAATCCATCCATCCATCCATCTGAAGCTCAATTCTCATTCGTTTTACTGATGGTTGCAATCTTACTATTATTCTTATTCTCATTACTTAGGGAGTATGAGGAAGTGGTGATAGAACATGAAAACAAACTCAGAGACAGACAGCATTTGGAGTTACAACTTGAAAAATTGAGGTAAATAGGTTTTATGATATTTTATTGTATTTGATTATTCACATTATGATAATTCAATTAAACGTAAAAATAATTAATTATATAAACTATAGCTATAGTTGTAATTATTGAAATTGCCTACTTTCATTTTAGGGAAAAGTACGAAAGTTTAGTTGAAGACAATTACCATAAGAAGTCAGAACCAAAAAAAGTTGGAGTTATGCAAATGAGCAGAGTTAGCAGTTTCAGTGACTGTGAATGTGATCAACAACTACAGGTGCGATATTTTCTTTCCATAGAAATGATATACATTT